ATGGGGGGGTTTTAGTACGGTAACGGAGACATATATAGAAGATTCTATACAAAATAAAATTTCAATCGCAAAAAAATTGTTACCATCTTCAGCAAAGCCTATGGGAACTTGCCAATAATACAACGTGCGCAGTAAACTTAAACAACTAAAGCAGTAGCCTCATTGAATACCCAGAACTAAAAGCTACGATAACTGACAGCACTGGATCTGGCATAAATTTAACTCACTGCAATATCGGCAGTTTCAATTTATATGTAGTGCAAAGTAAATTGTAATCGTCCTGTTTATAATAGTTACTTTTTTTTTCTTGAAATATATTACTTAAAATGTATAATGTTTAATTAATAAAATCATAAATAAGTTTCGAAAAAATGACAAATTATTTTGACATTTGTATTATGGTCTAGAACGATAAAAGTATTTTGCAGCTGGGTGACAAAAGAGACTTACTTTGGCAACTGAAAATTTAACGAAAATGTCGACTTTAGGTGACAGTTTTCGAAAAATATTTTTATTTGGCTACATTATTAATTTTTAAAATATCCTTATCGTTTATGTCTAAAAACTTGTATCGTCTTGTATTTTCGTTTTCCGAATATCACCAAAGGACAAAATATTCTAAAAATAACCCAATGAATAACCCCTTGAATTTTTGCCTTAGCAAACACCCTGCATATTATTATTTATTGTTTGTTTATTTATTAACGCGAGCAAAGCCCTTTGATCTTTCCGCTGCGATTCGAATTTATACCTATTATTAACTATATCACGGGCTAATTTCATCGATGATGTCACGCGCATAGCGTGTAGGTGCACTCTCAGCAGTAATAGAGAGATTTATGGCGAAGGTGACAAGCCGAGCCGCCGTTTTCAATCAAAATAATCAAATAAACCATCTCAAGGTTCTCCGTTATTGGCTTAAATCGCTTAAATTGTTACTGGCGCTGTTTGGATTTGTTCGACACCACTCTGGTATTTTTAGGACAACTATTACGGATCGAAGGTGGAAAATTAATATCCAGTCCCTGAGAACTGAAATTGTGTGTCTATTAGAGCGGTATTTTCCATGCAACACGTGTATAGCTGCATTTTATTACGTGGGTAGTTGAGAAAAACCAATAAAATTGTAGAATGTTGCACTGATAGCATGTAATCTGCGAAATAAACTAGTGGAAAAAATTAAGGGATCAAAAAAAAAATCTAAATTTTCGGAGATTTTTCAAATGCCTGTATCTTTGATAAAAATGGTCGTATTGGAGTAAAAAAAAGCAATTTGAAGCTTGAAGTTTCTAATTTTTGGATCTTGCAAAAAAAAAATTTCAAGTAACACGTATCGCGCAATCTTAATGAATATCATGAAAAAAAATTTTTCCAAATTTTTTTCGATCTTATTTTTGGTGTACGGACTTGAAAAAAATTTTTCCAACTGAACCACCTTATGGATTAGATAGGCTGTTCATTTAGCTTCAATTTTTTTTTTTTTGTCTCGATACGACCATTTCATGCTGAGCTATCGGACTTTGAATGAAAATGGATCATTTTCTCTTTGTTCATCGATATTTTTATTAAAGATACAGCTATTTGAAAAATCGCCGAAAATTTAGATTTTTTTTTGATCCCTTAATTTTTTCCACTAGTATAGTAACAGCTATTAAGTAAATGACATAATTTACAAAATTCTTCAATTGAGTCTTGTGCCATTTGTAAAGGAAATGTTTTTTTTTTGTGGAAATATACCCCGACGACATCCATTTATGTATGCATATGTAATATTTATGGCTATATTAACTCATGACTTATCATTTTTACGATCTTTAGTCGTCGTTTAAACAAAATATTATTATGGCATAAATATGTGAAGGCCAAAATACAAAAATTATGAGAGCGACTCTAATTTCCGTCCAAACATCACCAGTTACCGCTCTTAGACTTACCACCAGTCAAAACTTTTTAATATCTACCAAACATTCGGTTTTACATTTGAAAAAAAAATAAGGTGAGGTCATTCGTGTGATATACCGGTGGCAGAGCGTAGCCTATTTGCCCAAAGATGGTGCTGACCGAATATGGGCTTAATCCGCAGATGGCCGTGGCCAACTGCGATGATGATTGCGCAATCATCGTTGTATATGTTTGAAATTCATCGAATGATGAAAGTAAACCGAGATCATATGGTCGACATAGTTTAACATGGCTAGGTTGGAACGTCAGACCAAAATCGTCTGTACCAGCGAAAGTGCGAGACCTTTTTAGTAACGAATAACAATAGTTCTATTTTTTCTGTAGCCACTCTTATTCATATGTTTCGTAAGGTATAATAGAAAGCAAGTACCTAGCTAAACTAAGCTAAATATTGGTCATTATATAATAATAAGTATTCCAAAATAAAATGGCCAGGTCATTAATGAACACAACCATAAAAGGGCCAAAAATATAGCCTCGAGAATCTCTGAAAATAGTAAAGACAATGTTAAATTTAATTTATGTTAAAAATATTTCTCCATTCTTCCATGAAATGTATTAATTTAATAATAAAAAGAAGCAAATATATTGTGAGAATTATTATTTTGTTCATTTAATTTGGAGTTAAAAGTAAAACGATTTAATTAAATTGACCTCTACCTAAAAGTTGCTTCGTTTAATGGCTAGATACGTCAAAGTTAACAAAGTTTTTCTAAATAACTCTAAAGGTTGGTGTTAAAACGAAATTCGCAGTTTTATGCGAAAAAAGACGAGCACAAATTAAAAAAAATCATTATTTTTAATTTTTTATGACTCGATAAATCACAGTTCCTCAAAAAATTCGACCCATGTATCCTTATACAGTACGCGACTAAAGTATGGAATAAATTCAGTAAAAACGAAATAAATTTTTTTTGGGAAAACAGGTCGATTTTTAATTTAAAAAATACATATTTTAGCATAAAAGGCGATTTTCAACCGTCATTTGTTTTCGAGTAATGACGTCATCGACATTTTTTTTAAATAGCAACCCCCTATTTTTGTTCTTGATTCTGAAAGATCATTTCATTGTCGATCCGACAGTATTAAAATGTTGCCATCTTACATTGGAAAGTTTTCGAGTAAATAATGATTGAAAACCCAAGTCAATTAAAATATAGCAAAAATATTATCAAATTTACTTTTTCGAAATACAATTGTTTTCCTAGGAGGTGGATCGGCAGACGAGGACCGATGGAATGGCCCGCGAGATCCCCAGATCTTACACCCCTGGACTATTTCTTATGGGGCTACTTAAAGTCTAAAGTGTACGTTAATAGACCACATAGTTTAGAAGAACTCCAAAATTGTATTATAGATTAAATACACAGAGTTACCCCAGAAATAATTCATAATGTGCAAGAAGAATCTCTACACAGACTTGCGTATTGTCAAGAAGTCGGTGGGTGGCAATTCCAACACTTAATTTTTGTAGAAAACTTAATGAATTGTATTTGCTTGACATAGAAATTGTTATTTTTTTAATGAATAAAATTTACGTTTTCTAACATTTAATCGTCATTTACTCGAAAACTTTCCTATGTAAGATGGCAACATTTTAATACTGTCGGATCGACAATGAAATGATCTTTCAGAATAAAGAAAAAAAATAGGGGGTTGCTATTAAAAAAAATGTCGATAAATTACTCGAAAACAAATGGCGGTTGAAAATCGCTTTTTAATAGAGACAGACCAGAATCATTATCAATAGAAAGTATGGCCAAAAAGAGCAAATTTCCATTCAGGGGGGTTGAAAAACATCATCCGCAAGCCCTTAGGTGATCCTTCAAGTGTTCTGCTTCCACCTCTCCATATTAAAGGTGGTCTCATGAAATAATTCGTTAAAGCTTTGGACAAAGATGTCGACTGTTTTGGGTATTTGGGAGAGAAGTTCCCGGATATAAATGATGTTAAACTGAAAGAAGGTATTTTCGATAGTCCTCAAACCCGTACCGTGTTCAGAGACGAAAAATTTGTCACAAAAATGAATGACACTGAAAGAATAGCATCGCTAAGTTTCAAGAAAATCACTCGGAATTTCTTGGGGAATCAGAAGAGTGAGAATTACCAGAATTTAGTTGAGGAATTGTTGGAAAACTTCAAAGAGTTGCCTGATGAACTTGAAAAATTTACTAAACACTTATCTTGACTACTTTCCGGAGAACTTGGAAGACTACATCGAAGAACGGGGTGATTACCTTCACCATGATATCAAGGAAATGGAGCGTCGATATTAAGGAAGCTGAGATATTAATGTGATGACAGATTTCTGTTGGAGAGTTAAAAGGAAAAACGAGCCGAAATCACAGAAAAGAGAAATAGGCATAGATCGTTTGAAGATAAAAGAGTTCGTGCAAAATGAAAAAGGAGTAAAAGATAGACTATTTCTAGTTTTTACTTATTTAATTTATTTGTGAATCATCACCAACTTTTTTTCTATGCACATATGATTTTATTATAACCAAAAATTTAATAAACTTTATAATGAAAATTAAATAATTCTTTTCATCAAAATCTTTGGAATTCATTTTCTATAAGTTTTTACTTATTTCATTTATTTGTGAATCATCACCAACTTTTTTTCTATGCACATATGATTTTATTATAACCAAAAATTTAATAAACTTTATAATGAAAATTAAATAAATCTTTTCATCAAAATCTTTGGAAATCATTTTCATTCACTTAAATCATACGATCAGTTGTTTGGAGAAAAAGTAGCTTTTTGCCACCTTCGCACCCTCTAGTAACTGAATAAAGTACCTTTGAATAGAAGGAAATTTAGTTAAACCTACTTATTTTTAATTATATATTCAGTTGTATCATTTTAGCAGGTTCATTTAAAAACACCCTATATTTAACCTTGTTTAATAATCTTTTAGTGCTGTCTACAAGTTGGCTACTTGTCTTATTAGTGAATGATATCAAACATCAAAATTTTTGACATATTCCACATCATTTTCGACCTCACTTCTAAATCTCCAATTCTACTTCAAACAATGACAAGAAAACGCAAAAGGTGCTCCAAAAAACCCACCCCCTTTATAAAGAAGAAATCGAAAACATCTTTGGCTGGAGTGAACCAACAGAAGTACCCCCTGAGGAGATACGAGCCATACCACGAAAAATTCCTCACCTACAGCCAGATACGAGATTTCCTAGTAAGACTCCAGAAGAGTTGTCCTAATATCATGCAGGTATCTACCATAGGCCTGTCTACTAAGGGACGCCCTATTTACATGGCCGTCATCTCTGAGGGTGATTCTACAAGCAAGCCCAAGTCAGGCACCATGATAGTGGCGGGCGCCAACGGCACTGAGTGGTTCACCGTTTCCAGTGCCCTCTACATGATCGAGCAGTTGGTGAAGGGCAGGAACCTCGTGAAGATCATGGACTACTTCATAATCCCCTGTTCCAACCCGGACGCCTACGAGTGCAGTTTGGAAAATAAAGGCAAGGAAATAAACGCAATGGACCTTTCCAGGAATTTCCCGTTCAGTTTGGGCATATATGACTTGAGCGGAATCAGCAACGAAGTATTCTTCAAAGCCATAAGGGAGTGGAAGGAAAATTACAGGTTTGACTGTCCAGAACGTTTGGCTGTGATAAAGGCTGTTTTGTCGTATCAAGTGGCCATCAAACTCTTTATATCCTTGGAAGGCGACGGAACCAAAATCACTTATCCTTTTGGATTTTGTAATATCGAGATTAGCGACGTGGAGGACCTGAAGAAGGTGGCCAAAGCTGGCAAAAGTGGTATAAAATGTCGCTGTTTTGCGGTTGGATCGATGTATAACCTAGATGGGATGCGTTTTGGTTCAATGGTGGATTATATCAAAATGTGTCAGGGCTCTATCAAGTTCACGTACACTATCCATGTCAATGAGAAGGAAAAGAACTTGAATCCGTGTAAAATCCTCTGTTACGGGCAAGATGTTATGAACTGCGTCAGGTTTATGGCGAAAAACATATACATGCTGTACGATAAAACTGAAATAAATTCCTGTGATGATTTTTTTGCTTTCATTGTGATTTGTATTTGGAGATACATGGTGTTTATTAAGTACTTGTTCAAAATTTAAAGGGTGGATCTTTGACTAGGATAAAAAAATATATTTGGTATTTTGCTCATATTTTTGTTCAGTAACATGGCACTTTGACGAAATTCGGGAAACTGGGTGTATTGATGATGAGAAACTCAAATATTTCCTTAGTTTTTTGTTTAGTGTTAGAGGGCGCCACATGCAGTGTTGTACGTGGATCTAAATAAGCATAACTTTTTTGTGTCGCACTGAATGTCATTTTTGACTAAACATACCATAGACCTAGTAAACTATGGACTGGCCCTAGAAAGAGAGGTTAATCGTGTTGATGTGTGTAAGTCAGATGAAGCTAGTTGAGGCAAATACCGGTAAAATAAATGATGGTACACGGGTATACCGGTACAAAATGCTGTAAACAAACTTTGAAGTAAATGTCATGTATTGACATTATTGATTCATTTTCTTGAATTTTTGTGTGATTTAGTTAGTGTATGTGAAAGATTCGTAAAAACTAAATATGGTGCAATCGTGTTCTGAGATAAATTGCGTAAAGAGACGTTTAAGTGGAGAAAAAATTAAATTTCATAGGTAGGAAAGAAGTTATGACGGTACCAACATGTTTATACCTTTTGCAACTTTCTGGAAAGACTGACCAAGTAGAGTCGCCTCTGATGACAACATATTAGATTAAATTATTTCCGCCATCCTCAAAATAAAATGTCATTTTAACATCAAACCGAATATAAAGAACTTTGACTGAAATGTGCTTATAATGTGCTCCAGCAAAAATTCTCTTCAAATAATATGTTGAACGAAGAAAGCATCGACATAGTTTCAATTTATGCAGTTCTGCAAAGCAAAAAAATATGAAATATTTGAAACAACTACGTCAGAAGAGCTTGCAGTATTGTTAACCGATCGAGTTTGGAATATTATAGCTAAAACAATTAAAATATTGTACTGTAATTCGGACAGTAATATAATAAACCCTTTTACATACCTACACTACTGGAAAAAATGAAAATTTTTTCTCTTTTAGTCTCTATATTATTTTTATAAAGTCTTTGAATACGGCCCAACAGAAAAAAAAGGGCAAGGAATCGAGTATAGCTAGCTGATTGGTTGAATTAAATGTAGCAGGTTGCAGTCGAAATTCTGTGAACGTAGCTTAAGCCCTTACTAGCTCCATCTCTCTTGCACACGTCTGAGCGATTGCCGTTTATATAGGTAAAATAACAGTTGGGCGAGTCCAGTAGTTTATAAGGTCTATGAAACATACCCATTCTCCAATCAATTTTATGTACAAAAGTACTCTTCAAGTGAAAAATTGTGTCTTTTATTGATTGTATTGCGATGTAACAGACTTAGATCATTTAAAGACCAAACTACTAAATAAAATATCCTGTTTCTTAGATACTGTTCATTTTGGACTGGACTTTCGTAAACTAGTGACTTAAGTGTCCCCTTAGAAAATAATCCAAAGGAATCAAATCTGGTGATCTGAGAGGCCAGACTTGCGGTTCCGCTCTTCCTATCCAACGGTTTTGTCCAGAAATTGACGAGCAACCAAACTAAAGTGTAGCAATGCTCCATCGTGGATTCACCACATCCTGTTTCTGATTTTTAAATCAACTTCTTCTAAATGTCCAGGAAGCTCGTGCTTCAAAAACCTTCGGTACTCCTCAGTAAGTCTTTGCGGAAGGATGCAAGGTCCAATCACCTTGATCACCGATAATTCCAATCCAAATATTTAGAAAAAATTGTACTTGAAAATTATTTGGATTATCTTCAGCCCAGATATGGTTATTGTGAAAGTTAATGATGGCATTTCGAGAAAACGAGGCTTCATCTTGGCTTAGGAGAAGCGGGGTTCTTAATAATCTATTACGCAACCAAATGCATAAAGCTACTCTAAGGGAAAAATCTCTAGGTAAAGAGCCTGCACGCGTTGCATGTGATAAGAATAAAGTTGTTGAGACCTTAAAAATTTCCACACAATTGTGTGTGTAATATTCAATTCACGAGCAATTTTCGAGCTAACTCTCATGACTGATTCTGCTGTCATGGAAATCATGGCTTACTATACGTGTACGTGCTGTTTTTTTGTGTACTGCCATTGCAGAGGAAAGAGTTTTTTAAGTTTTACTCGAAAATCAGGCTTTTTTCGAAAAACATAAAAGAGTAGTGATTTGTAGAAAATTGAAAGACGAATTCGAATCATGGCTTTTACCGTAAAGCAGTGGCGTACTATTTTATTTAGAAAATATGCCACCGATACCCTATATCTCCGACACTGGAGAATCTAAATTTTGCGAAATACGAAGAATACGAGGTTTTATTTTTGGTCACCATTTGTGAATCACCCTGTATAAATAAATTACTGTCTACATATTAAATACGAAAAACCGCAAAATTTCATCAAAGATTAACTAAAAAGATTAATTTTCTGGGAAAATAATAAAAGTTTTGTTACCTTGGTTTGCGGAAACTTGTATAGAAACACGTATACACAAATTTAATTTTCCTATAGGTGTCCAGTAAAACATTATAATCATTTTACTACAATTTTAATAACCACTATTAAAAAAATGCTGCATACACATACTAGCGTTACTATAATCTCAAAATTTATCACAATTTAAATATTTTTCATCCTGTTTTATGTAACCTAATATTTATTGAAGCCGATTTTACCGTATTACATTATATTTGAACAAAACAAAAAACAAAAAAGTTTCCTTCGAGCCGGATTTGAACCAGCGACCTATGGATGTCTACAAGTTAGTTTCCGCTACAGTCCACCGCTCTACCAACTGAGCTATCGAAGGTTGTAGATTAAATTTCGGTATTTGTATAAAAGTAAACTCGTTGCTAATTAAGTATTCGTGATTTATTTAGTTTTTGTATACCTAATGAATTTTTAACTACCATTATTCACGTAGCCGAATCGCCTTGACCTAGACATTTGAATAATGGTGGTTTTCATTAACGCTTCTGTGAAACGCTAGTATTTACAGTCATAAATAAAAATTACGTCAGTTTCGATTTAAACCTGATTTTTTACGTGCAGAATGTTTAAATGCGGCTGAGTTTTACACCGTTCATGTCTATTATTATAATGATGATTGTTATTAATCCGAAGGAATTGAAATAACAGCAGCTGGCGTAATTTTAGCGAAGAGGAAGTGTGATTATGTAAATTTTGAACTTCTATTTGATTTCTGATGCAAAAGGATGTGACTGATATTTGTCGCTTTTTATGTTCTTACCATAATAAATATGTAAACATTTCATTTTAAACCGTTTGCGAAGTTGTACAGGGTGTGACTGAAATACTTGACCAAATAATGGTGCATTTTATGTCATAAATTAATAAAAAAAGGTTTCATAAGTACACTAGTCACCAAAATTAAGGGATATTAAAAAATTACAAATCTTTGGGTGATTTTCAAAGAGGGGAAATGGTCGTACAGGGAATAAAGAAAATAGAAAATTGAAGCTTCAAGTTTCTAGTTTTCGGATTTGGAATTTAAAATTTTTTAGCGTCAGCAGTTTTTGAGTACCTAATCATAAGAAAACCAACGAAAAAATCCAAATTGTTGCTTGTCTTTAAAAAGTATCTGAAATAAATTCTTTTGTAAGTTTACCGTAAAGGTCTGTTAAAACTGTTACAAAACAAAATTGTATTTTTTTTATTATTATTTTATTACAATAATTGACGTTTTTTGATGAAGAAAATATGGTTTATTGCTAAAATAACCATTTTCAACTTAAAAAAATTAATAATAAAGTGAGAAATTACTTATATTGATTTTCAAAATTTTTTTTTATCAAAAACTAATAATTACGACTTGTAGAGAATACTTTGTAGTTTTCAAAACCCTACTTGGATTTTCTGCATGATCATTATTTCCCGATTGCCAAAGTCAAATATTACTTTTTTGCTTTGATCGACAATAACTCGGCGACAAATCATCATACGGGCTCCGGAACCGCTCAAATTGAAATTATCTAAAAGAGCTTTACAGTAAAATTACCAAAAAAAAATTTTTGAAGTCCGTAGACCTTTTTAAAGGCAAGCAGAATTTTGACAATTTTTTTTTCGTTGGTTTTCTTATGATTACTCCAAAACCGCTGACGCTAAAAAAATTTAATCTCCAGATCCGAAAACTAGAAACTTGAAGCTTCGATTTCCTTTTCTTTTATTCTCTCTACGACCATTTCCCTCCAAGTTACAGCTCTTTGAAAATCACCCATTAATTTGGGATTTTTTTAATATCTCTTAATTTTTGCTACGCTTTATATTTGAGATAATGGATCAAAATCAATGAAAAAATACGGCTCTTCTCGAGTTGCAATAAACAATTGAGGAAAACCGTGTAAATAATCTTTTATTTTATTCATGGATGACGTGATTACTTAGATTATTATTTAATGGACAATAATTTTAATTATTAAATTATTTCCAAAGTAACTTAACGTCGCAACACTTAGTAATACCAATAATCTAAACATATTTTGACATTTTGCCTTTTATTTAGTTTACCCATGCAACTACTAGTGTTATTTAAAAAACAGTGTCGTGCACAAAGTTTAAAGACAATCAAAACAAATTGATCGCTGGTTATTTTCATATAATTTTAAAACATCACTTATTTAATTAATTTGTGGTAAAATCAAGCGTTAATGTTTGGACCAGCATTTCAGTTGTATCCTGTATATACGAGGTCTTGTTAAAAAAAATACGCGCTAATGGACATATTTAGTGATAAGCGATTGGCAGCATTGCTTTGCACATATGTAACTTCCTCTGTAATCGCATGTTCTTGGATTATTGATATCTCATTTGGTTTTGGTTATTCGATTTTTGAAATGTGCGATTTTCTGAAAAACTGGGCAAAACTTCACGGAAACGTTTCAACTTTTGAAACAAGCTTACAGAGATATTGCTCTGGGTCGTACGTAATGTTACGAATGGTTTTCACAATTTAAAAGTGGTCGTTAGTCAGTTGAAGATGATCCTCGACTAGGAAGGCCTG